CACCCCGTACTTCAAACGGAGACGAAAGTGTTGCTGATGGTGCAATCAGCACTGTCGAGGAAGACGAGGAGCCACCAACTCCGATTAACCGAGACGAAAGTTTTGCTGACAGTGTAGTCAGCACTGTCGAGGAAGACGAGGAGCCACCGACTCCAGCTCCTTTCATACGGAGTCGAAAGTTTTGGTGGTAGTGAAATCAGCACTGTTGATTTCAACAACACAGCAGGTTAGGCCCCTACTATTCAATAAGAGTGTGTCCCTGCCGTGTTATGCAAGTTGCATAAAAATGCTTAATTTTGTGTTTTTCGCTTTGTGTGCTGTTTTTAAACACATATGACCAACAAGCAATTACTTCATCTACTCTCAACATGGTCAGATAAATGTTTCTTTTCTTTAAATCTTAATTGATGTTACGTATTCGATAACCTATTAATAATGACAGAAATGCCACACGTTTTTCCCGCAGCGTATTTACTTTAACTGTTCTAATGTGAGTTCTATAGATGAATTACTTTGCTACACTACAAGTGGTTAGCAGGTAGCACTGGTAGCTTCTACTTTTCTCCTAAGATTCTGTTTTATCTGTCGTCTTGCTGTTTCCTGGCGCTGAATGACTGTTATAATGTCAGTGTTTTCCTTATCAATTCAACTACATTGCTACACATGAGCTTATTTTTCTTTATCTTTCTCTTTTTCTTTAGATGACCCTCTCCCTTCAAACCGCGGTAAAAGGAAACCAGCCCCTCACACCTGGAGACGCAGTGTGGCAAAGCATGCCCGATTGTTTTTGTACTTTGTTTATGACCATGCCTATCTTGTTTCTCTTGTTTTAGTAGAGGTTTTACAGCGCTAGCAAATGCATAAAGTCATTAGTGAGTGCCAAGGGGTAGATGTCAACAGAGAAGTCCTTACAGGGAATCAGCCTTACTCTCTAGCTTCAACAGCACTAAGTTTGCTTCGACTATCATGGCACCCCGGAAATAGCGGGTCGCAAGAGTGTGACAAACATACAAAAGAAGTAGAGGCAAATGACGGTAGTAAGGATTAGGAAAGAAAAAGCAGCAGTTCCCTGTTGCAGTTCAGGCACACTTATGAGCTTGACATTGATGAATCAGTCCATTTACAAGTCATCTGTGCATAAGAACAGATTAATGTCCCCCCTTTGAGAATGGCCTAAAGACACTTCAGTCAGTAGCACCGCCTGTGGGGTTTCTTGGTTCTCTTCCATAGATATTGTTATACTTATTTCCTATTTGGTTAATTTTCCACGAGCCTTTTAACATTTTGGTTTTCATTGAGCACACTGGTCTTTGCGCTTGCAGAAAACTCCCAAATATTTCAGTTTGTTTGAATTGTCGTTGAGTTGAGTTAATAAAGAAAGCACATCGACACGATAATACCTATGAATGATTGTCATGTTTATGAATGGCTGTCTTTAAAAAAAAAATTATTGTATTTGTTGTGTCATGAATGTAATGTGAAATGTTTGACATCGTAAAACAATTTACCCTGTCAGGAAAAGTAATTTTATCTCTTTGTCTATTACTGGTACTATTATCCTATTTATTGTTGGTCACATCAGTGATCATTGGCAGCTGTCGCAAAACATTTCTTGAGGCCCTGCTCACCTTGTGAGATAATGCATTATGATGTATGTTGATTCTTTGCTTCTTTGTACCTGACACTGTGTGCAAATTATTGTACTCTGTGCTTTAATTCTTCATGTATAATAAAAGATATTTTTGGAGTCCTTTTTTACTTTACTCTTGCATTTTGTGTTATTCTTTTTACCATAGTAGAGAAATACGTACATTAACATGTAGATCTAGATGTACACAATGTACTTGTGTGGGGGAGGTTGCTGAGTAGGCCTACTACAGCTGCTGATAGGTTCTTCTTTCCTAATATTATGTTTTATCTGTCTGTCATCTTGCTGTTTGGTTGGTGAGTGCTACTGGTAGGTTCTACTTCTAATCTAACACTAAATATCTGTCTGTCGTCTTGCTGTTTGGTTGGTGGGTGCTACTGGTAGGTTCTACTTCTGACCTAACACTTAATATATCTGTCTGTCGTCTTGCTGTTTTGCAGGTTGTTGGAGGGTGCTACTGCGCGGTAGGCTCTACTTCTGTTCTTTCATTGTTTTATCTGTCTGTCGTCTTGCTGTTTCTTTGCACTAAATGACCGTTATCGTGTCCATGTCCTTTATTTAGCAACTGAACTCGTGCTGTTGGCTGTTACTGTTAGTGTTAGTAAATCGTATTGTTCTTTCTGCACAGACGTATCTCTATACTTCAATGTAAACTCTACATTGATGTGTCCAGGTGTTGATCATTCCTGAACTTTGACTACCAATGTTATACAGTCCTTGCCGGCTTTAAGCACGGTCATCGTAAGAAATCATTTAGAAGCGTGCCTAATGCCGAAGCGTGCTTGAGTGCGAAGTAGATATAATTATAATCCAGAGATTTTCATGTTGAAAATTCCCTGTGCTATTTCTCTTTGTTTGTAAGTAGTGGTCGCACAAAAGTTTGTGCTGTTATTTTTACCCGCCATGGTCGTTTTTGTTTGTTTGTTTGGTTTGTTTTTGTTTTGTGGTCGAATGGGAAATGAAAACTTGATTTAGACGGCCAGTCACGATACAGCACACTAGGCCTACCCTACACACTGCCTGTGCGTACCACTGCCCGCTGTGCCACATTCATACCACAGCCTTCATCCCACCTGGCGCGTGATACATAATCAGGGTTATCTCGTTATCGGATAGCGAGGGGCAATAGGTGAAATCGCAGCCAGCCTCCTTTTCTGAGTTCTCGTCTCCCGGACTCTCTTTGTATTTTTTTTTTAGTCTGTGAAGCTTTGCCCTATGCTAGATCTAGATCCTATGTCCACGCGCGTGGCTGTGTGCAACTCTGTCTTCCTCTCCGCACGCGTCATTTGTGTGTGTGAATGTGTGTCTCCATCATTAGCGTTCTTTGTGTTTCTCTTAACACATTCACTGCTGCGGTGTAGACTGTGTTTGAACTTCGATGGGTCATCGTGAAAGTATTGACTGTCTTGTAAATGAAGCGTGCCTGAAGCCGAAGTTACTGTGCTTAAAGGTGTGTAATAATATCCCAAAATTCGGTATGAGCTGTTTAGCGTGTTTTATGCCGGTGTGTTTAAAGCCGGCACGGACTTTACAAATTTTTACAAGCTTTTGATCAGCTCAAAGCTTCTTCTGAAGAAATATGGCATGGATAACTCAACGTAACAATAATAATATACATAAATATAGATCTAAATTGATCCACATTTTGGCCTAAGTCACCATTGACGGTAAAAACTCGGGGGCCGTTTTGGCCTAAGTCATTTCGCATTTTGGCCTAAGTCTAAGAGCGTGGTCTCGAAATGGCCTAAGTCCTATATATCCCATAATTTCACATTTTCATTTTTAAAAATTATATAAACTTCACCAGCACTGAACCCTCACTCGTTGAGGAAAGTTTTGTTTGCCAAAGTGTGTTTTCTTGCGACTTAGACAGTTTTTATTGATTATCTCGAAACTGGCAAAAATGACTTAGGCCAAAAAGGTAGCGGCTTGACGTTATAGTTACTTGTAGTTATCTATAGCCACTTATTTATAGTCATTATAGTTACTTGTAGTTATCTATAGCTACTTATCTATAGTCATTATAGTTACTTGTAATTATCTATAGCTACTTATTGCCACTTATAGTTACCTATAGTTACTTATAGCTGCTTGTACTTGTAGTTACTTATAGCTGCTTGTAGTTACTTGTAGATACTTATGGATACATATAGTCGGGTTTGGCCGTCTCAGACAGGGTCGACGCAGCCCGCCCCCTTAAGAATCTAATTCACACCGATGGAAACGCTAAAACATTTACAGTCTGCTTGAGACAGTACATGTACTTTTCCCCTTAGTCTGAAGAACTTTGGGTTGTTTTAATTATTGTTGTTTTACTTATAAAGATCAGTAACTGACAAAGAAGAGAAACAGTAATGGGGGCAATAGATCTATACTAACCGAATCGGCGCACCTACCAACCTCAAACATCGTGGGGTTTGTTTTTTTGTTTATTTGCTTTCTTTCTGTCTAATGTGGAGGGATTCATAATATATATAATATTTTCATCATTAGTGCTGGGGAGAACGTCTCTCAGTAAACTCTTAGTTCAATATTAATTTAATATTATTATGTTTATTCATGTTTTTAATCATGAAAAAAAAAAAACTGTTTTATTTTCTTATCCGTACTTATAAAATGTTCCAGGTTACTACGGGAAAAGCGACATAGAATGTCTTCAAATTGATCAGTTGCTGGACCTCTATTCGGATTATCTGGACATATCGAAGCATCTTTTCTTCGAAGCAGATAAAGATAAGAAGGTGGGCGAATTCTGAAAGCTTAGATTGAACCAATAAAGACTTTGTGTATAGTCGCTGAATTCAAAATAAAGTAATGAAACAACGTTTTTCTTTTCAAATCAGTCTCTTTCTCGCCTTCTCTCTCTTTCTCTATCACTCTATGTATCTCTCTATCTATCTGTCTATCTATCTATCTATTTATCTATCTATCTATCTATCTATCTATCTATCTATCTATCTATCTATCTATCTATCTTTCTATCTATCTGGAAGGCGTGTCTCTTTCTTCTGTGTTTGAGTGGTTGTGTGGCGACAAAAGCACTTGTCACTGTGGATGTTTCCTAGAAATGTGCAACTGAAATCAATAAGGAATCATCTAGGAGGTTTCTGGGTTTAGCCGGAAAATTAAACTTAAGCGTCTTTTCATCTTTTCCAATTAAAAACACCGACAAAATCAAGTTAGAATAGACATGATTATCCTTTGTATGAATGTATGTATATATGTATGTACATTAACAGAGACTGACAACAGCAAACCGCCCATATCTTTCGATGGATAATTCATGTTGTTAAGGGAAGAGGCGGGTCAAATTACCATCTTGCTCATTTCTAACTATTTTTAGATGAAGCTTCCCGGCATCACTAAGAAAGACTAGAAAAAGAAATACAGGGAATTTAATGTAGTATGTTACTATTGTCGTCCCTCTCCTGTTGTCTTATTGTATACCTAATGTTCTTTCCAGGCGGAGATGCTGAAAACCCTTAAGGGACCAGACACACAACGTTACTTCGGGTACTTTGAGAGGCTTCTCAAACAGAACGGCACCGGCTTCTTCGTCGGCAAGGAGGTAATACATTGTGGGGTCTTTACAACGTCCGTCTGTTGGTTGACTGAATTTTGCCTTTTCGTAAGACTTGCAACACAAACATGTCATCATTTAGATTCTAAGTGTAAAGAAGTAAAATAAGGGGGGGGGGAGAGACGAACGATAAAAGTTTGACAATGACAGAAATAACAAACCACACTATTAGAGCACCCGCCAACCACCCGCTTGACATCTCTATACGCTAATGACACCAATAACTTGTAGTCATATACATTTTAGTTCAGAGTGCTCTTGCATTTGAGAACACACGCAAACACACACATGCACACTTACACACACACAAAAACACACATAATATGCATACACACACCCACGCGAGGT